GTTCCGGGGTACGATACAGCAATGTAAACCACGTAAACAGTAGATTTTTTCCCGTTCAGCCTGTCTCAACCTCGCGAGTTGCGATTCGTCCCTCGTGGTTGTAACATGATATCTAAATTGGATGCCAGATCGTGTGTAGTACGCTTAGATGGGCTGTTTAGCTTTGCGACCGGCGGCGTCTGTTCACATCTCTGGTCGTCTTGACACACTGTCTTGTCATCGGAGCAAATCAGGTATGGGGAAAGAACGCGATAGATGCTGTGCAAGTGCCCCCCCCCCTTTAAAAACTAATTCATCGGCGCAACTTATTCGCGTTGTGTTCATTTCCTGGGGCTTGCAGTGAATGTCTTCACTCACGACAGGCGAGCTATTTAGATTTGAAAAGAGCTTTAACCCCTGTTAAATCTACAGACCGCAAAAGGTGTCTGCAACTCTCTGATTCAGCAGCCCGAATTCGTCTCCCGTCTTGTTGTTACAGGCGTTTGTCTTTTTACGTTACTTCGGCATCTGGAGGCCTAACTAATAAGTTCATCCATTCACAATGACATACAGGTTTGCAACTAAGTCCGTCGAGGGGTCTGTGCCCGTATCGGTTAGAAAGTAGGGTCAAGTGATATATCCCATCCTCGGAAATGTGTTGGGTTTTTACATTCATAAAGTGCTTCCGGCTCTAGCGAGTTGATGCATCCTTGCTTATCTGCTGGGTTGCCAATACCATACTTTCCTTTTTAAACTTTATGTAAGTTTTCTTCGTCTATTGCGCCTAATTCTAAGATGAACTGCTTAATTATTTTACCATTTTGCCAAGTTATAATTTATATTTAATCAAACTTCATGTTCGCGAACATTTGTAGAGGCCAAGTTTATAGGGTTTATAGTTACTTTACAGCTTAGGCAGTTTTTCATCCGTAGCTACTTATAGTTCGCTTCGCAGCGGAGCATGCAGTTTAGCTCAGTTTGATGTAATTTACTGTGATCTAAGTCCCCAGTTCTCTCCAGGATTTTGGGCATGGCTTATCTACCAAAACAGACGTTTTCAGGGTGACCAGCAAGGTTCCCCTGTCCTTATTGACAGACTTTCCCACTCTTAATCGTTTGCAACTAAGCCACCAAACCCAGCCCTTTGCATGCACCGTCAAAAAACCAACTAGACTACCGCCTCTCATAGCCCAGTCCTGTAATCGAAAGCGAGACGACCGACGAAAGGCCATTTCCGCCCTTGTCGTTGGTCATTATATAAACGAACCAACATGGGGACTCGATCAGGACACAACAAGCGTTGTTCCGGTCGCGCTAACATAACAAATTTCACACGTGGGGAGAAGGGGAGGGGAGTGTATCACCAGCCATCTGCATCCCATCCCGTCTTCGATCTTCCTGACTCTGTGTTGACAGCAAACACAAGCGGATCAGAGAAAAGAAAAAAAGTGCTGTAAACGCGGGGCGAGTCTACTACAGCTTTAAACTAACTCGCGTGCATTTTGCTGTGTCTATGCTGCTATGTTTTGGAGCACGAAGTGAATTTCGTCGGATACGTCGGCTATTGGTCAGAACAGTTGTTTTAGCACCGCTTACCTACTGCAAGTCCATCCAGAGCACGGAGCTCATTGCCTCCCCACAGGGTCTAAAAGGTGACTATTAGTCTCCTAGAGATCGTGGATTTGAGGGCAAATGTTTCCACTCCCTCCCACCTCCCAGGAGCCCAGTCGCTTTTTTCTGAGGACGGCAAGTATTCCTAGTCTGCTCATGATTTAGTAAATTTGGACGGTAGCCAGTGGCAATGCGCTATTTTAACCAATCGCCATTTTCCCCTTTGATTATTCATTTCTATTTGGGTTTGGGTCAATCGTCGTAAAACACCAAATGAATCCTCCTTCTCCCCCAAAGGCGTTGGGAACTATTGCGTCTTCTTACTCCTGCTGTTGTTAATTTTGGTTTACTAGTCAGCTTACAATACCCCACTACTACAACCACTTTTCATCTTCTCCACCCCCTCAATCACACAGGTAATGATGGTAAACGGCGACCACCGAATCGGCATCTTCGCCAAACGAGCTATACAGGCGGGCGAGGAGTTGTTCTTTGACTACCGTTACGGACCCACGGAACAGCTCAAGTACGTGGGCATTGAACGAGATGCGGAATTGAGCAGCACTCAGGCTGAGTTCATTCCTCTGACGTCGCCCACCAGCCAACTTCCGACGGCTGTCTGCGATGCCGCTTTCGCTGGCTGCTAGAGTTTGGTTAGTT